CCCCTCCACTCTCCCCCACCCCAGCCTGCAGAACTTCCCCGACCCCCACCCTACCCCCGAGACAGCTCTCATGGCCAAGTTCCGACACTGGATGATCCGACACGGAAAAGTCTACGCGGACATCATCACCACATTCAGAAGGTTAGCATGTTTTTTTTAAATAAGAAAATTTAATTTTCGTAAGAGTTGTACGGCACTTGCAACACAATAAGGTCATATAAGTGCCGAAGATTAGAGGTGTTACAAGAGAGTAACATACACAAAAAGGAGGAGAGAAAAGGACAAAAGATGTTTGATAGGAAAGAAGGAGCAAACCACACCAGAGCACACGCCAGCCACCCACAAATAATCAAATAATTTTTTTTAAACTACTGCTATACACGTATTATCATCGTTATGTTTTAAAAACTGTTTTGAAGGGCGCCATTTTGATGTGACGTCATTCAGGAAAAAATCTTAGAAGTTTAAATTTTAACAAGGTTCAAAAGTGCACATGAGTAAGTACTTGTGAGCTGAATTTAATAAAATTTGATGCAATATTGCGCACAATAGCGAACAACTTACATTACTTTTTGACTCCCCCTCGTAAAAAGCATCTCACCCTTCTGCAAATGTCCTCAGATATACGGTAGTGAATTTAAGGTCAACCTAGAAAGTGCGCACCAGACTATTTGATATTACTCCACAGACATGGCGCGTTTACAATTGATCTATATGACGCACCGAACAGTTCCTTCTATTTTACAGTATCATTGTTGTAAGATATAGCACGTTTACATTCAGTCTATATGACGCACCGAACAGTTCCGACTATTCTATAGTATCATTGTTGTAAGATATAGCACGTTTACATTCAGTCTATATGACGCACAGAACAGTTCCTTCTATTTTACAGTATCATTGTTGTAAGATATAACGCGTTTACAATCAATCTATATGACGCACAGAACAGTTCCGACTATTTGACGACAACTGCCCACAGATACAGCACGTTCAAGGCCAACCTGGCCCACATCACACAGCTCAACGTGCGCCACCTGGGGGCGGCGACATTCGGACTGACCAAGTTCTCCGACCTCACCACCTCACAGTTCCGCAGACAGATTCTCATGTCCCCTCATCTCCCATCTGCCGTGAGCCTTGGTTCATTGATTTGATTCATTATTTTCCCGTTGAAGAAACAGTCACATGTATTTTTAGTAAAGTTTTACGGTACTCGCAACTGTATAAGATCATATGAGCGCCAAGGGGTGGATGTCAAAAGAGAAATCCAAACAGGGAATCAGGCTTACTCTGCTCACCTCTCTAGCCTCAACAGCACAAAGTCTGCTTCGTCTATCAAGGCGTCCCGGAAATAGCGGGTCACAAGAGAGTGACAAACATACTAAGGAAGTAGAGGAAAATGACAATAGTAAGGATGAGGAAAGAAAAAGCATCAGTTCCCCCTATGTTGTTTCGGCACAGTATGAGCATGACATTGATAAATCAGCCCATTTACAATTCTACTGTGCATAAGGACATGTTAATATCCCCCCTTCCCCCTTTGAGAACAGTCACATGCGTTAAAAAAACAGTTGAACCAGTACTGTAGGCCACTTCCCCAGAGATGTTGTAGGAGCCCACGGAGAAGAAGAGGGATTCATTCTTTTATACACTCTGGCATTCATTCATTCACTCATTAGTTTATCTGTTTCCTCGGGGATATATTAGCATTACGAGTAGTCATTCTCTGATAAATTTACTGATATTTAAGTTTAAGTAATCGAAGATTGCTAAGTTTAAATATTCAAAGATGCTTAGTTTAAATATTCAAAGTTTGCTTAGTTAAAGTATTCAAACAAAAAGGTCATAATTATGACATTACGAAAAATTCCCTTCTTGATCAAAGCTATGTTATGACCTATATTTTGGCCACAACTATTGTGATCATAATTACTCATGAAATGTATATATAAATACATTGTATATAAATACATTTGAAATTGTCTCAGACCTATTGTTGAGGAGAAAAGTCGTTGTCTTGTGTGGACGTCTCGGGCAATGTCAGTGAAACATTAGGAAATGTAAAACAGGAAGTCGTTTGTACATGTGATCGTCTTGGGAAGGTAGCCGTTGACGCAGGTTCCACTGTGTTATTGATAAAGCTGTAAATGTTCTCTTCGACAGGTCACCCCACAAAGCAGCCAACGCAGAGCACACTCAGAAACCACAACAACAATAACAACAACAATAACGACAGACACGCTTACAAACTCGACTCTCGCCCCGCCCACTCCAGGCCTAAGCCCCGCCCTTTCTCCCCCACCGGACCAATGGGACTGGCAAAAAGAGGGCGTGGTCACAGAGGTCAAAGATCAAGGCCGAGTGGGCACGTGTTATATCTTCGCGGCGCTGGGCGCTGTGGAGGGTCGCTGGGCCATGAAGGGAAACACGCCGGTCAGTCTGTCAGTGGAGCAAGTGGCGGACTGTCACGCTACGTTCATCCGTCAGTTGGTTTGTTTGTGTGTTTGTGGGTTGACTTGTTGGTTTGCTTGTTTGTTTGTTTATTTGTTTGTTGGTTTGTTGGTCTGTTTGGTCTGTTTGGTCTGTTCGTTTTTGTTTGTTTGCTTTTGCTGTTGTTGTTGTTGTTGTTGTTGTTGTTGTTGTTGTTGTTGTTGTTGTTGCTGTTGTTGTTGTTGTTGTTGTCGTTGTTGTTGTTGTTGTTGTTTTATACTAACGTTTCTTAGTGGACAGCGGGTTTTTTGTTTCTTGGGAAAGCCACTGTACACGAATTCCCATTCTGCTCGGTTCTTCTGGAGAAGGACGTTAAACTCAAACGTCTCGCCTCACAACCCAATAGGACGTTAAACTCAAAGGTCTGCCTCACAACCCAATAGGGCGTTAAACTCAAAGGTCTCGCCTCACAACCCAATAGGGCGTTAAACTCAAAGGTCTCGCCTCACAACCCAATAGGGCGTTAAACTCAAAGGTCTCGCCTCACAACCCAATAGAATTGATAAGGGCGTTAAACCTCTAACCTCTCTACCATTTGTCTCGTCTCTTAAAGTTAAATACACTAACAGTAATGACAAGGGCGGTAACGCTGTACCATTTATCCCGTCTCTTAAACACCCTAACAGAACTGACAAGGGCGTTCACCCTCTAACCTCTCTCCCATCTGTCCCAGTCAGACATCGCTATAACCACTCTCACATCTGTCCCAGTCAGACATCGCTATAACCTCTCTCACATCTGTCCCAGTCAGACATCGCTATAACCTCTCTCACATCTGTCCCAGTCAGACATCGCTATAACCTCTCTCACATC